GTACGCATGCGCGCGTGACCGCAGCACATATCCATTTCATCGAAGTGACAGGTTTTTTAACCTGAAAAGTCGTCAACTTTGACGCTAAATATCTCGTCTCGCGGAGGAGAGCGACAATTTTGTGAAAGGAAAAAGTTTAAAAAAAAAAAAAACACGTCGAAAGAGCCAAATTGGATCAAAATCGGAGGTGAGGCAGCTATTCTGGATAATTACCCATTTTTTCTTGGGTAATGTCAATTATATCTTCCTCATATTGCAAAATACTTCTTGATGTGGAAAAATCGAAAAAGTGAGAAGAGAGAATTAATCAATTGCGCGATTCTCTCAATGTTACGATAATTTATTCTAACATTATGATGACGTTATGATGACGTATCATGAAGATGTTAGTCAAGTTTCTGTAAAAAAAAACTCATATATTTATGCATGCAGTAAAATAACACAAGTCAGATACATCTCGAAACACAGATATTTTGAGCTTTCTTAATCTTAACGCAATGGGATTGAGTAAACTCTCTATTCTCATTTTTTCCTTCGATACATATTCACATATTCTACTATATTAATACTACATGTGCAGAATAAAGATGTCAGTTGTGTGTGCAATAATTATCTATAGGTTATTTAATACTGCTGGTAATTTTATTGCTTTTTATACTGCTTATCAAAATATTTTCATACGTAATCAAATGGGAAAGTAATGAAGTGTGAAATAGCAAGAAATAAGTGCAAAAAAGTTCAGTTTAGGTAAAGTTTCGACTGATTAAGCATAAGAAGCGATTGAGAAAGTCTCAAATTAATGACAATTAGAGCAACTCTTCATGATTTTTTATGCAATCAAATTCTCTTAATTATAATTAAATGTAACGCATTATATGTATTGTGCCCCTTATGTGTCTTATTTTAAATAATATACCTAAGTATTTAAACAACAAGGCATTTTTGTAAAAAAAATTTCAGATGAAAGTTGTACGATTGTCAGGGAAACATAAGATGGTGACCTCAATTTAATCTTCAGTTTTTTTAAAGTTAGGTAGAGATAAATTTAAAACTTGACTTTTTTGAATGGCAGTGTACATTTAATAAAGTTAATTTTTTTTAAATTCAACGATGTATAGAAACTATAAGATTGTATAGATAAAACTCTTGGAGCAAAAGATGCATCATGCAATAACAGATGTAGCACATTCAAATGTTTGCACGCTTTATTTTTTTTTAGATTTATCATAAATAAAACAGTATATTTTGCCCATGTTAATAGACGTATAAAAATTAATAGAGCTCACTGAATTAAAGAATTAAAAATGCAGACAAAACTCGAAAAAGTTTATAACAATTATAAGTTCATTATTTTATTTGTATATTTAAAAAAAACTTGTTCACAACAAAATAAACATATTTATGCAAAAATTCAAAATAAAATAAAATAATTTTTGTGTAAAATTTATATAAAAATAAAAAGTAAAAGAGTAACAATATAAAATTAATTAAAAAATAAGAAAATTTAGTGAATTTAACTAAAAATATTTTTTTAAATATATTTTTTAAATGCATGCATACTTGTATGATTTTTGTTTCGAATTTAATAATTTCGATGAGATAAGCACTAATATATTATCTATTATCTACAATATATTAAAATTTGTTTGCAAGCTTTCGTGATTAATCAGCAGTCAAAAGGCATTTTAAACATTAACATACCACTTTGATGTTGAAAAGCGACGGTAGAAATCGTTTGACCTCGACCGCCGCTTTTACGAACACATCCTCTGCGCCGCCTCCGGCATCATAATCACTGAAATAACTCATTGTTGTTTCTCTCTTCGACTACACTCAAATTCGATTTAATTATTTCAAAATCACTGATTAATTAGATGAAAAATGCAGAATGTAAATTCTTCCGAATTTGCTCTCGTTTGAACACGAATTATGGAACACGAAAAGATTCCTTATTCTTGCTCGCACTATAAACGGATATAAAACCGTTTATCCGACAGATTCACGAGACAAACACGACCACAATTTACTATCACCCTTCTCATCACGTTTGTCACACCCGCAGATTGACGTGATCCAGTGAGCTATACATAACCATAGACGCAGTAAGTACAATGAGGAGCAAAAATGAGGTCCGGAGTAGAGTCCCTATATATAGAGGTTGCGTTCCATAAAGCGCATATGTGCGCATGTATCCATAGTATACGTTAACGTTTACTATAGATATATGCGCGCATATGTGCTTTACGGAACGCAGCCAGAGTCTGGCCACGCTTGTGTTTATTTTTATTGGTCGAAACAAAGTTTGGAAAAACATGGCGGAACCAATAGGAATTCTTATAGAAAGTATAATAATTTGAAAAATAGAACAAGAAAATTAATAACAATTTATATTATTCTTTTCTAGAAATTTTTAATTAAAAATAAAGAAAAATTAACTAATAATACTTAAAATCATATCATTACAGTATATATTATTATTACTTATATATTCAGTATCACAATAATAAATAAAACTCATTTAAATAAAACTTATTATAAATAAAACTCATTGTAAATAAAACTATTAAAAACAATGTAAGGTTAGAATTACAATTTTTATGACAAATTCTACTTCTTTATAATATCATTATTCTTAGATATTTTATTTTAGAAACCATATACCAAATAATTGTACTTACTTTTATAGGCTTCACTCTGCTTTTATTAATACTATCAATTTGTAGTCGAATAAGGTGTAGGGTGTTTATGATAATTCAAGTTCGAGTTAGTTTTACTAGGGCCGAAAAATGATATAGACATAACCATCTAGAACCTTTATGATTCATGACAACTTGACGCTGTCTTGTACTGCTTGAGTTAAATTCATTGAATTTATTGAGCAAATTTTATTGTAATAGAAAAATGTCATTTATTATTATTATTAATTATATTATTATTAATTTATTAAAGAGTTATACCAACATACATACCAACATTATTTGTTTCTTTCATAGACTGATTTGCAGTTGACATTTTTCTATTACAATAAAATTTGCTCAATAAACTCAACAAATTCAATGAATTTAACTCAAGCAATACAAGACAGCGTCGAGTTGTCATAAATCATAAAGGTTCTAGATGGTTATGTCTATCTCATTTATCGGTCCTAGTGAAACTAACTCGAACTTGAATTATCGTAAACACCCGTAGTCAATGAAAGTTTTATTCCATAAATATGGTAAACACAAGATGCGTCTATGCATATACTGCCGCTATGTTTTTCCAAAACTAATCGAGTGGCCAGACCATAAATATATTACTTATAGATAGAGCTTTGTACCATTTTTGCTATAGTGCAACACGTGCCAAGATAATGACGGATTTTCCTCCTTCGCGCATGCGCATTCGTATATTTATCTCGGCGGATACAGCACTTTTATGGCCGGTTTATGCTTCGGTCTTAATCTTAGGCCGGCGTCACATAGAACCCGTAATCCGTAATCCGCACCGGAAGTCCGCAAAAGTTACTAGGGATTGCGTCCGTAACGTTACGTGTGTTTTTTCTCCTTGTGTCCCATGCATTGAGTAAAAAGAAACAGGAGGGAGCGTTTGGTCTTAAAAGTGCGGACGGAAGTGACTATATAAAGTGGTCGCTCAAGATGGCCGCTCAAGGGCGCCAATATTGAATGACTTGTTCTGTTTAATTAGGAAATAATGTACAATTAAAAGAAAATAACTATAATATGCAACAATAATACCAAATTTTAATGGCGTTTTTCATTGGGATTGCACTCGTGCAGTATTTCCATAAGAGCAATGTTAAAATCTAAAATCTAAATTTATATTAAATCCTTCGTCCTTACAAAAATTTATCCATGCATTTCTTTGATCCGGATTTTTCGGAAACCTGTTTGTGAGTAAAATTATTTAGTAATTATTGTGAATCTACAATTTCACAATACTATACATATGATTATAATCTCCAAAATAAAAATCTCATTATTGTTGAAATACTAACCGATGAAACGTTATTCCATGATTTCGAGCTGCTGCTGTTATGCCACAAGCTCTACAGTATACTATTTTGATCGTTTATTTCCATACACTGTTGCATAAAAGACTATACACTGCATATTAATGCGTACGGCGTACGGTATGCCGCTTGCCGCAATGCTCGAGCATTCCCTCTCACTTTCAAAAAGTGGTCGCTCAAGATGGCTGCTATGACGTACATCCGTCCGCGGATTTATCTAGTCCTGGCTAGTATATGCTCCCTCCTGTTTCTTTTTACTCAATGGTCCCATGGAGCCGTAAATACATGGCCGGTTTATGCTTCGGTCTTAATCTTAATCTTAAAGCCGAGAGCACAAGCTTTTACATAAAGCATAACGCATAAGCATAAAGAAATTGATTGGTCTATATATAAGCATAAGCAAATGCATAAGGAAATGGACCAATCAATTTCCTTATGCTTATGCGTTAGCGTTTGCTTTATGCAAAAGTCTGTGCTCCGGCCATAAGAGTTGATAACGTAGAATGCCATAAGGGCGTTTATACTTCCCTAGTCTTAATCTTAGTCTTAATCTTAATCTTGGAAAGATCCCATCTTTTAACTTTAGTCCCTAATGTCCTAAGGCCGGGCCAATGAGGTAAGTCTGACGTCCGACGCAGCACGAAACCGCGCGAAATAATGGTTTTCGATCCGTGTATATTTAAAAAATTGTTCCTGATCCTATTCAATATTCAGCATATCTTTCATTAAAGAAAAGAAATGACCAGTTTCGTGTCTTTTTCGATTCAGTGGCCGAACAGCGTATCTCCGTGGTTTTCTTTTATTTTTTTTTTAATTTCTTAATAATACACATGCTGCATAGGCACTTGATAACAAAAGTG